AAAGTTTCTGCACATCAAAAGAAATTTCCAGCACAGTGAAAAGAAAACCCACAAATTGCGGAACAATCTTAGTGAACTGTCCCTCAGACAAAGGACTTCTGTCTAAAACAAAGAATTAAAAAACTCAGACCCCCAAAATTCAAAGATCCAATCCAAAAATGGGCATCTGAGATGAATATACAGTTCTCAGATGAAGAAATACAAATGGCAAATAAATACATGAAAAAATGTTCATCATTTTTACTCATTAGAGAAATTCAAATGAAAACAACACTGAGACCCCATCTCACTCCTGAAAGAATGGCCAGGATTGGGGGCTGGGGATTTAGCTCAGTGGCATAAGGACCTGCCTTGCAAGCAGGCAGTCGTGAGTTCGATCCCTGGTACCGATAAAAACTAAAAAGACAAAAAAAAAAAAAAAAAAAAAAAATTTTAACTAAGAATGGCCAGGATCAAGAAAACCACCCACAAGTGCTGGAGAGACTGTGGGGAAAAAGGAACTCTCCTGCAGTGTTGGTGGGAGTGTAGGCTGGTACAACCTTTGTGGAGGTCAGTCTGGAGATTTCTCAAAAAGCTAGGATTGGAAGTCCCATTTGATCCAGCTATTCCACTTCTGGATATATTCCTGTAAGAACTGAAAACATCACACCATAGCGACATATGTGCAACCATGTTTATAGCAGCACAATTTGTAATAGCCAGATCTTGGAAACAACCTAAGTGTCCATCAACTGAGGAATGGATAAAAAAGTTGTGGTTTTTTTATATAATGGAGTACTAGTCAGTTATAAAAATGATCACATTGAGATATTTATAAATAGCTTGTGTGAAAATAAATCAAACTCACATGTATAAATACCATATAGTCTCCCTAGTTTAAGAAATGTTAAGAATACATAAAAGTACATGGTAATCATGATTCCCCATTATACTGCTTTGAAGCCTCGTTTTCATTCTTTAGTTGGAATGTTTTATTCTGGGTTGTTTGATTTTATTGTCTATGATTATATGAACAGCTATTTTGAAGAAAACAGGACATTATAATAGCCAGTGCTGATTTAATATCATCTTGTTTTAAAGTCCTACCATGCTTTTGTTCTTGTCTCCATAGGTTCTATCATGTTGTATCTTATTGGATTTTATTATGCATGATAGTATAAACAAAATTTATGGACAAGGATATAATACAGTAACCATTGTTTGTTTTCTGTTGGTTGGTTCTGAATATCCTTTAATGCTTTCATTCTCTTGAATGGTTTTATACTATTTTGTTATGTTTGATAATACAGTGTATGAAGGTATACTGAAGTATTTCAAGGAAAGACACACTATGGTATCTACTGTTATGTCAGGCTGTCTTGTCGTGAAATACTGTGCTGTTTAAATTGTTCTGATCTATATTGTTATGTCCTCTTTTATCTTAATCTTTTTAAAATAAAAAAATACAAAAAAGATTAATAGAACTTTATCGCAATACTATTGGATGTAGAGCTAGTACATGATCTATTTTGGAGAACATTTCATGTGCTGCTGAGAATTATGTGTATTCTGACATGGGGTGGAACACTTACACATCTGCTTAGTCCATTTTTTCAAAGGTTTGGTTTGATTCTGACAGGTTTTTTTTTTCTTTAGCTCATCTATTTGTAACTGTATGGTATTGAGGTACCCAATTATAATTGTAGAGCTTAACTGAGTTTTTAAATCTCCACTTGTTTTATCTGAGTGTGCTAGCATTTGGTATATATATATATGTCATCTCTTCCTCTTAGACTGCTCTCTTTACAAGGACATAGTGATTTTGTCTCTTAATCAGTCTTAGTTGAAATTCACTTTTCTGCAAACAGAACAGCTACCCTTGCTTTTTTCCATGGAGTTTTCCATCTTCAGACTTTGTCTATGAATTTCTTTTTTAATTAAATGTTTTGTGTATGCAGCATATTGCTGGATCTTGCTTCTTGATCCATTCTGCCACTGTTTGGTGAATTGAGACAATTTACATTGATGGTATAACTGATATGTAGTCACTTATCCTTGTCGTGTCATTTTCCTGTTATTGGTTCCCATTTTTCCTGTTTAATTGCTTGCCTTGCCTGGTAGATTCCTTCTGTTTGGGTTCATGGAGTTATAGTCCTTATCTCTAGAATACCCTTCAGAACATTTTGCAGTGCAAGTTTGGTTTCAGATTTCCTCTAGTGTTGTCATGGAAATATCTTATTTTCTGCACCAATTTTGAAAGACCGTTTTGTGGGGTATATCAGTCTGGGTTGGGGACTCTTTTCTCCTAGGGCTTGAAATAATTCACTCCAAACTCTCTGTGATTTGAGGGTCTGTGTTAAGAAGTTAGCTGTGATGCCGATGGATCTTCCTTATAGGTGATTTTTCTCTAACAGCTTTTACTAGTCTGTTCTTGTGTTGAAGTTCTACAATCTTGGCTATTATATGCCTTGTTGTAGGTTTTTTTAAAAATCAAGGCTAACTGGAGTTCTGTATCCCTCACTTATCTGTCAAATTCTTTTTCCTTGCTTGGGAAGTGTTCTGCCATGACTTCTGTGAACTGGTTTTTTATGCCACTTGTGCCATCTGCTTTTTCATGGACTCTGATCAACCTTATTCTTCTTTGCATTATCTAGCAGCTGTTGGATTGATTTTTCATGGTGTCTTGCTATTTATTTTATTGGTACCGGAGAACGAACTTACAACCGTGCGCCTACAAGGCAGGCACTTATGCCACTGAGCTAAATCCCCAGCCCCAAGAATATTTATTTAGGGTACCAGGGCTCAAACTCACCACCTTATGCTTGCCAAGCAGGAATTTATGTCACTGAGCTAAATTCCCAGCTCTTGCCATTTTTAAGAAATATTTCTTCCCATGATCACTAACTGCAATGCTATCTTCTAGATATGGTATTGTCCTCACTGGCTCATTCTGCTGCATATATTTTCAAAGGAATGTTTAATCTCCTGGAGATCTGTTTGAATGTTTCCTGGATTCCATTCCTTTCCTATGTTGAGGGTTCATAGTTTCTATCATTTTCCTAAGCTCCATTTAAACACAAAATCTGTATCTACTTGTCACTAACATGTCTTTCACTGTGGTCACCATCTCTATAGTTAAATCTGAGAAGTTATTTCTGGTTTGATTTCTTCTAGAGCCTTGTACATCTGCTTTTACTTCTGCCACTTTAGAAAGCACTTGACGGGTGGCTTTTGAGTTGTTCTACTCCACTACTTCCCTGGGTTTGCCTCTGGTAAGCTGAAGTCTGGGATTTCATCTTAAGTGTCTTCTCATTTTCTATCTTTTTAAGTTTAATTTCTGGGTTGATGCTTGTAAATTGCTTATAGCAGGTAGCTTTATTGCGTCTTTAGAACCTTTAGGTAATGACTACTTCTCCATGATGTAGCTTTCTGTTGCAAGATCCTTCTCTCTTCAATTTACTGGGGATGAGAAGTTGCTGCCTACTTGGCCCAGCCTTGGTTTTTGGCACTGGCCTATAGTATTTTTTAGGTAATCTCAGTCTTGGCATACTGGGGAGAACTGATTAGAACAATTATGTCACTTTTGCTAAGGCAGAGCAGCAATAACAATATCAAATACATGCTAGAAAATGACAAACTGTGATAACTATTAACTTGTCCCCTTAAGCCATTAAGATTTGTGATTAAAAAAACAAAAAAAGCTAGGAGCCAGGCATGGTGGCATGTACCTATAAACCCTGCACTTGAGAGGCTGAGGCAGGACTACTAAGTTTGAGGACAACCTGGGCTACACAGCAATAGCTAGCCTGAGCTACACAGTGAGACCCTGTCTCAAAACAAAAACCCAGAAAATTGTATAGATTAAGTACGTACTCAGCATGGTGACTGGGGTCAGTGTGCTTCCTAGTCAGACTTCGTCTCTGCTAAGCAGGCAACCAATGGTAGGCAGGTTGAATTCTGGACATCACCAAGGGGACAATGGACACTAGCAAAACTCCCTATGTTCTCTCCACCCTGAAACACCTAAGTCCCTCCTTCTGAGGGTGCAGAGCTACTCTCCATGGGTCATCAGGGCCAGATCCCAAAGTGACAACAGATTCTGTTCTTCAGCAACCCCGATACCCCATCCGTAAGACCTTGCTCAGTACGTGACCCACAGGTTTGTCATAGCCGCTCCCAGCAGGGAGACACCCCCTCCCTGTACTGTGACTTAGAGGGGCAGCAGAGACATAGCTATAGGGACTGTACTTTAGTCATACGTGACAACCTCTAACACTAGAGGCCCTGAGGATCCTGTGAAACATATGAGAGGCTACAGGCACTGGTGGGCAGCTAGAGCCAGGCTCACATCTCAGCCACCAGCCCTAGAGAATTCCTACAAAGTTATAGATCCCATTCTCCATCTCCAAGCTGGCAATTTCAGCATGTCTAGGGTCAGCCTACTTCAGCACATCCTGATGATGCAGGGCCTTTCCCTCCCTGTGGGTGGGATATGACCATCTGCTCACCAGAGCTGGAACCCAGGGTGCTGCCCTGTGCTCTTTCTTCGGCTCCTGAGGCCAGCCTGAGTCCCTCAGTGACCATGGTCTCCCCCAAAGTGAGCCCCACCCCCTACAGCGCCATCTTCCCAGGAACCCCTAAAAGCTCTGCACTTGCCTACTGAGGGGCACCAGCCAGGCAGTGATCTGCACAGCCCATCTGCACCTGCAGGCCAGGACCGAGTCCACTGCAACTATCAGGAGCCAGAATGTCTTCCACAAGCAAGCAGTTTCCCATCCTGGGGAAAAAATCTGTTTGTCTTCCTAACCAAAACTACCACTGGAAGATTTGTCAGGGGGAAAATTAGTTTCAGGAAGAGAGAAAAGGAGGAAGAAAAACACTGGTGTCCTATTTTTAGGTCTTAAAAATGTCATAAACCTGAACCTTACTTTATACTCTTAATTCAGACAGTGCTTTCCAATTTAAAACTGACTTTTACAAGCACCTAAGCAGAACTGAAAAATAAAAGTGTACATTAAGGATTACGTAAGGTTTTTCTTTTATTTAAAAGATCATTCACAAAATACCATATCCATAGATTTACTTTCTGTCATACAGCTGAATGTGTTGAGTGTTTAGAATTCCACCCTCGCATCGGGAGCCAGCTGGGTGCCCAGTGGTGTGGATGGATTTGTTTTGCTCTTAATCTTTCTGCGTTGAGGATGTGTGTGGGTCGTCTCAAAGCATCAGGTTTGTTTCAACCACATAATGCATGTCTTTCTTAAGGTAGGTGTTGGTGTTACACAAATGGTTCTTATCTCAGAAGCAGAGAAGATGATAGGCAGAGGGGAGAAATATGAGTTCTGTGAGTTACTAAGACCTTGCAACAGAGACAAATCAGAGGGGTTGAGAATGACAGCTAGTGGGGAGCCCTAAGCCAAGCAACTTCCCTGCCGCTCCGTGGCCTTCAGCCATCCTGATGGGGCCTCCCTTCCTCAGGGCTCTAGCAGTTCCCACTGGGACACACTGTGACTCAGGCACTAAAGGATTTTCCATCTGCTCACACATAGGCACCTGAGCTGCTGCCCAACACCTTCCTCCCAGGCAAGTGCCAGCCACTGCACAAGAGCATGACAGTCCCAGAGACAGGTGGCCAGCCTGAACATCTACGGTCCTCGGCAGTCAGTGAGGGTCTGGACAGCTCCGCACCAGCTATTCACCACGGAAATAAAGTGCCAATTTCGAGGCCATTTCCACTCTTGGCTTGCAGGGCAATGGGAGGCAGTCTCATTAGACCGCTTTTGTGACAACAGACACAGATATGGGGGAGACGCCCAACAGACAACAGGAATGCGGGGAAGGCTAAGTCCACATCACTGTGTCAGCCCAGTACAATGCCACCACTTCCTGGTCCCCACAGCACTGGAGCCCCTTGGAAATGACACGAGCCACTGGGCAGGCAGGACAGCACAAGCAAGCCCCCAAAGCCTCCAGAGCAGGAACCATCTGGACACGGTCTTGAGAGATTGCAGCAAACTATATGGACACACAGAGCCCTTGGGGAACAGGTGAGGAGCACCGACAACAAGCCTCTTACTCTCCCCTGGGGCCTCACACCTGCTTTACCTGCCCAGCCCTGGGGGAGGGCTGATAGCGACAGGACATCCTAGGAGCAGGACCATAGGAGTGGAAGGAAGCTGCAAGGGTCAACAGGAATTTTTCCTTGTCTTCAATACAAGGTGCTTCCAGATCTGCATACTGATCACAGCTGGACACCAACAAGGCACTGGCCAACCTGCCAGCAACTGCTGCTTCTCTCTGGAAGCCACAGCGACACAGAACTCAGCATGCAGGTCAGAAGAGAAGCACTGAAAAAAATTAAGTCTGGCCCATGTCGAAAATAAAGAGAAGGCAAAGGAGAAAACCAAAGCAAGCAGGAGCACCTGGGCCTGCCCCACCCACTTCCTCCAGACACCGTGTGCTGCAAAGACACGGGGGCAAGAGGGAGGAAGGACAGAGGAAAATGAGGACAGAGGGGATGGAAAAAATAAAAAGCACAGAACAGGCACTAGATAGATACGGCAAAGCTAAGGATGTACTAAAAACCACTTGTTAACAGTTGACATGCATTCACAAGCTCTGTGTTTCCACTGTAAGAAAGGAGGACAGTGTCAGTTGCAGAACCGCGACTGCGGGGTGGCCGGTCCAGGCCCTCAGGCTGTGGTCTCGCTCTAACTCCCCACACCCCATTCCCCACCGCGGGCTCATTCTTGCTCCTTGTTCACAACTTCCTCTCTGGGCCTGGCGCCCCCGAAGATGGCGGAGTTGGGGTTGGCTACTTGGTTGAGGGGCGTTGCCACTGTCCGAGGTTTGAGCTGGAGCCGTGGCCTCTGTGCTCTTTCCTCTGCAGAGAGAAAACACCATTTACAGGGGATGACTTCTACCCTCTCAAGCCACTCAGGCCCACTTCCAGACCAAGGACGGTGACCAACCGCCTGGCCCAATGGGGCAGACCTATGTGTGCCACTGTGGACTCTGTGTGTCACTGAGAGCTCTGAAAGGTTTGCAATCACTGGGTTATCCTATGCTTTCACATAAACAGCAGAGACCTGGGCTATAACAAATATCCTACTCCAGACAATGCTGACTTGAGACAAACCCTGTGCAAGGGAGGAAGGGGCACCCCAGGGCAGTCCCACATCCTACCTTCTGTGGGTTCTCGGAAATCCATGTTGGAGCCGCGCAGCGGGGGGCCATCTCGGAAGCGACTCCCCATGGGAGGGCCTGCTCGCCTGTCCCCTGGGCGACTCCCTCCTCGGCCTCCTAGGAAGTCATCCCTGTAACCTGAAGGAGAGAGCAGCTGCTGAATTCCCTTTACACACTGTCGCAAAGCCAATCACATGGTGTTCTGTGAACCAATCGTGAGCTTTGTTTTTCATTCTTTAGTCTGCTCAGCATCTGAGGTTTCTTCCCACCATAAAGTGCACTGAAAACACGTCCAAATGAGAACCCACTGTGTGATTACAAGGGTCACATCATGACAAACCACAGTGGAGAAAACAAACAAACAAACAAAACAAACAAACAAAACAAGGGTCACAGATTAAGGAAAAAGAGACACTGAATCACAGGAGAGAATAAATGGCTATTTAAGTTCTCAGCTGGTAGGAAAAAGAGGAAAATATGAGACTATTTTTTAATCTATGCGGCTTCAAACAAATCCTAGCAGCAGACCTTGAGCTGGGTTTTTTTCTGAAATAACTAAGCTATTGTATTCAACATGTAATAGCTGTCATAAAAGAATTTATGCATTTACTCTTCCCATACTCTAATATATTTCCATATACCTTTAAGTTTACAATTTTATAGTTTTTCACCATCATGGTAACTACTTTTTTTTTGGTACCAAGGATTGAACTCACAACCTTGCGCTTGCAGGCACTTGTGCTGCTGAGCTAAATCCCTGGCCTATATTTTGTTTTATTGGTAAACAGAAGATTAAAAGACTTGGACTATAAATCAGGTACAATTAATCATAACACCAAATAACCAGCAAAAACTTTTTAACATTTTTGCTTAGTCCTATAAATTGATACTTTTGTAGTTTTTCTTGTATTTTTAAATCATAGGCTTGGTAAGTATTATAGGTATTGATTTTGGGGGTGGTTTTGGGGGTAGTGGTGGGTAACGGGAATTGAGCTCAGGATCTTGCGCTTGCCAGGCAGGCGCTTGTGCCACTGAGTTACAGTCCCCAACCCGAATTTTTAAATTACAATGCAAAAAAGTAATGTTACTCAACACATATTCCCCTTTAACCTACTGCACTATCTCAGAAGTAATCTCCCTAGAAAAACTATCTGCATAGAGAAGACAATGCAGATCTTCCTTAAAGACTTTCAAGTATTGTAGGAACAATCTGACATTTTATGTTTTACTAATTATGGGGTAAAAGTTCAGAACTACATTATTTTTGTCCCTAACACTACATTGTACTGAAAAATCTTTCAATTGTGTTTATGAGTTATTTTCTAGCTTCTTAAAGCACGGGACACAAATATGGTTCTAACAGTGAGGAAAACTGAATAGTCTTATAGATTTCATAGGGAAGACAGAAGGCAAAAAGATAGACTTGGATTCTAAAAACCTAATGTTAACCCTAAAACACCAGATTTGGTCACAAAACAGCAGCAATTAAAAGACTGCAGCAAGCCGTAACTTTGCCATACATCATTAAGATTTCTGAAATAGACAACTTCTTTTTCTTCTTCCACTCAACTTATAACATCTGCTTTTTGTTTCTTCTGTCTTTCGGTTGTAGGCATGCAAGGCTTGCCCACTGCCTAGGTTCAGCTTTTCTCATAGTGATTGCAATCTTTGTAGTAGCCATAGCTGTGTGATTTCACTTCATATCCATCACACCCCATCATTTCACATTTTGATGACACGCTTTCTCTCCTTCAAATACGAAGTACTGTTTGTGTCTACTCCACTACGATCAGAAAGTAATTTTTAGCATATATGGAAATGCTTACTTCACCCCCACTCTGACGCCAGTCACGTCTACATGGAACAACTCTTGCCTGGCCCCTTTCAGTCCCCATGTGTTTCTCTGCTGTACAGCCTTCTTGGGTTAAGAACAGGTTAAAACTAGAGCTTTTTCTTTTGCAGCAACCTCACTATGTCACCCCTCATGGGAAACAGGTACTCTAGGAAGATACATACAGCTCTCCAAACATCCTCTATTTTTACATGAGGTCCTAATCTTACTTTCACCACTGCCTTCTTTCTTATCTTCTTTATTCCCTGATGACAGTTTATCTAGTGCTTGTTTTAGAAAGGCAGATACTTTTAAAGTCCAAACTTGTCACTGGTTCATCTCAGCTTGGTCTTTTTATTGTTTCTATTGGTTTTGGTGCTCGAATGTTATGTTCCTGAAACCTGGATTGCAATTCTGATCTTTTGTCTCAGTGTCTTCTTTTTTTTTTTGGTACCAGGGATCAAACTCATGACCTCATGCTCGCCAGGCAGGCACTTATGCCACTGAGCTAAATCCCAGGCCCAGTGTCTTGACTTCTGGCTTGACTGGCTCGGGTGGTTTCTCACTATCACATCTATCTTTTGTACAGTCTAGAACACTTAAGAAGTCAGAAAAATCAGTTGTTCTTTTACAGCAGGACCAAATCTTTAATGTATCATGAAAACCCGGAACACCTGGGTGGTACACACAAGCATCACTGGAATTGTTCTGGAGATTGAAGTGCTGACCACAGCCCTGGCTGTTAGCACAGTTAAGGCCATTTTCCTTTCCCACTGTTACAGGTAAAGCCAAAACACTGGGAAGCACAAAACTATGTGACTGCAACTGTTCTGTCACATGGTGCAGGTTGGAAAGCCAGGGCAGCTTCTGGAAACAGCCTCAGTCTAGTTTCTGACAAATCCACAGCTATTGAAAAGACAAACCTGAAATTTAGAAGTGCTTACACTTTATAAGCACAAAATCCCAAGGAAACACTATATGAAATCAAAGCACCAAGACATCTCCAGGTAACAGGCCCCTTTTCTTGCTCCTGGTGTGACCCGAGTATGAACCACTCAGAGCAAAGTATCTGAGATAAACAGGTTTTGGGATGTGGTTGCTAGGATCCGTCCTGCTTTCCCCTGCACATCTTCCTCAAAGTGACAGGAATCTCATCCAGAAAAGGAAGGATTTTCTCTGGATAGATTTGAAGTCTTAAGAGACTTTTAAAGAAAAGTTCCCGGGTACATAGCTCAATGGCACAGCATCTGCCTGGCAAGCAGAAGGTTATGAGTTTGATTCCCAGTACCAGAAAAAAAGCAAAGCTAAAGAGCTGGACAAAGTGGCTCAGGAGGCTAACTGCAAGTTTGTGGCTGGCCTGAAATACACAGCAAGACCCTGTTAAGGAGGTTTAAAAAGGGCGGAGGGAGGGCTAACTACAGGGGGTAGGAGGCACTACCTAGACTTTTTAATACCCCACCCAAGTTAACCACTGTACATGCAGCTCAGGAGGAAAACAGTTGTTCCCTCAGTCAGAAGTCAGAAGGGACCGCCTGTATCAACAAGGGGCAGTGTCATGGTTTAAACTATTTTAGGAACTAACATTTTTGAAACAAACCCTCAGAGCCTGAAGTACATCTTTCTATATGTGGTTGATCCTCATTATTCGTATTAATCTACCTGCAAAGCATGGTTAATCCCTGTGTCAAAGTGGTGGCACTTGTGCAGGGGTTAGAGTCATCCCCTGCTTGATCTCCCTGGGAGGACAACAGGAACCTTCCATTCTCCCCTTCAGCTCCTGCACCAGACTCGGCCTTCCCAAGGGCCCAGGGCTGGGCTTTCCACCCCTTCCTGCTCTTAGCTGGCAATGTCAGTGTGGAAAATGGCCCACAGTGCAGTGCGGGACACTGTCCATTGCTCCCAAGAGCCACGATGTTGTGGTGCACCTTTGGGACTGCAGAGGGGCAGAGGGATGAGGGAAGCGCTCAGGCTGTGAGCGCAACACGCAGTGCAGCAGGCAGCCAGTATGAGTCCCATGTTCACGCGTCCCCTGTGAATGCTACACACTATACTTCCAGAATCAAATATTTTCTCAACACTAGCACATTGAAAACAAGATTTAGGTATTACTGTGGGGTAAGTGCAGGGACCAAAGGCTTGCTGGCCTGGCTGCTGCAGTGTTCAGGGCCAACTGCAGAGAACTCAGCCACCATGGGTAACAACAGCTGACTGCAGGTACTATAGATACTATGTTTGCTACGAATGCCAGAGATTTTGGAAATAGAGCAACAGGAGCTTTACTATGCAGAAAATATACTCAGATGCAGGCAAATGCAAAGTTCTTTACAGTCTTAACAACTAGACTACTAATAGCTCATTAAAAAAACAAAGAAACAAAATTGAATTAGTATTCAAATATTTAACTGGTCATTTTCCCAAAACTAAACTGAACTTAACCTTTCTACATGCAGATTGAAGTCCTGTCCTTTTCTGAAATTAAACCACTCCTGCTTTTGGCATGAAACCCATCAGCTCACCCGACACTGATGCGGCAAATCAGCACATTGCTGCTGTGCTTAAGACCCATGCACGAGTAACACAGTGATGAGAAAATCAGTGTACTCGAACACCAACTGTGAGCCTCACCTCAAAATCCCCTGTACAATGCATATTGGGAAATTTATGCAGCAAGGAAAAAGCACGGTTTGGCATTACCAAATCTCTTTGACTTTTGGGCAGAATTTTTGCAAGGCTGGCTACTCACAAGACACTACAGTTTTCTGTGCAGCTTCCTTGAGCACGCTGGCATTTCTAAGTGCTAGGGAGGGAATCCAGGGCTGCACGCATGCTGAGCACTCACTCCCAGCGCTGAGAGGCTGTATGTAGTCTCTTTCCTCTTTGCACTATTCTGTATTGCTCAATTTTGGATAGTTTTAAAAATTACGATGAATATATGCCATTTAAAAACCAAAACTATTCTACTGGAGTAAGAAACATGTTTTCCCAAGGAACGTCTAAAGCATCAAATCAGCCATGACTCCAGCAAGCAAGCATGGAGCACGTGGGCTGGAAGCAACAATCCCCCATAGCTCACATGGAGTAGGAGGGTGGCAAGGCAGAGGGTGCCCAGGCCTGAGGAACAGCCAACCACAGGCAGGTACCTCTCAGGAGGAGCCCTGCGCTTGCAATGCTCCTACAGAACCTGCCGATGCAAAACTGTCACGGGGCCCTGACTGCTGCATATTTCAGTTGAAGATCACCTTATAATTACAGACCTACTGGATGACATCGCACTTTTATGAATAAGCTCACTTCTGACTATGGCAGGACTTTTAAGAACTTACTCAACAGATCACCTGCACAACACTAGAAGACTGCAGTGGTACCGGCCCCTCTGGTGCTTGTACACCAGGCAAGATCTGCTTAGGAAGGGCTGAGGGTCTGAAGTTCCTGAACCATGTACAGTGCACAACAAGCACCTCAAGTTTGTGGAAGGCAAACAGATCTGCTTTTCCTCCTAAACCTCTCATAAATTACATTCCTACCATGTATGAGTTACCTGCATAATTAAAAAACAACAGCAGAGGTGCCAAAGCGCTTGTAAAAGCAACCTTTCAGAGGCCTGGCCTATGAGCTGAGCTCCTGGGCTGCTGAGACAGGATGCTACATTACTGAAGGGACTCAAGTTCAAAGCCCCTTGAGAAAAAACAGGCCACAAGATGACCTGTACCAGCTAAGGAGGAGCTACTAGGAAGTACAGCTCTAAGGCTTTCTGGAAGTTTCCAGAGCCCTCACACTGCCATTTCCAAAAGCAATGGTCCTCTGTAGACACAAAGGCACAAGAAGCCACTCCTTTGAGTGAGGGCCATGGCGGTCCAAAGACTATTGAATCCCAAGCACCAAGAAAGCATTGGGCCAAGGTAACGGTTTGACTGCCTACTATGCAGCCTTCATCCTGCCCAGCCAGGCTCAGAGAATGCTTACTGCACGCCTGGTGCCTGAAGGGAAAAGTTCTGCTTGTAAAAGCAGCTAAAGAAGCTGTTGAGCCAGGCCACCTTCTCCCAAGCAGCGCTGGGCAATGAAGCCACTGGGAACAGAAGTGCGTTACTGCAATACTGATATCGGAATTGAAGTCATCCCAGCCACCTTTACATTCTCGAGAGCTACCCATTCCTGAAGATACACAAAAAAGATAAAATTACAACTCGTGATAGGAGTTCAATGAAACAATTCTAACAGCTTTTGCTGCCAACACACACAAAAAATTCCATGACTGCTTAAAGCTCCCAGACCCTATCAAATCTGAGAGAAACATTCTGCAAGAAGGGGCCAGGGATTTAGCTTTTTTTGCAAGTGCACGTTCATGAGTTCGATCCCCCAGGTACCCAAAAAAAAAAAAAAAAAAAAAAAAATTCTGCAAGTGATGCTCAGGAGTCATAACTGGTAGGCACACAGCAAGTTACATTTAATTTTAGAAGAACCAATCACCTCTGTCATCTGGTCCGCCTTTCCTGAATCCAAAGCCACCTTTATCTTGTTTTCTGCCTTCTGCAATGTCCACACGAAGTGACCGATCACCCAACAGCTAATGGAAAGGGAAAACAAGTGTAAGTATCTGTAAGAAAAAAAATCCCAACTGCTCACTAGACCCGAGATCCCCTCTGGGGGGATGGTACTTACTGCACCATCGTAGGTCAGGGCTTCCTTCAGGGAGTCTACCTCATCGAATTCTACATAGCAGAATCCTGCAAGAGAAAGAAACCACCGGCTTCCTCAATGGTTCCCAACTGTGATCTGCTGAGATCTGACAGGTTCCTCCAACCTAAACCAGAATGACCAGTTTTGTGGCATCTAGATGACAGTGGATTAAAAAAGCACATTTACTCTCAGGAAACAGATAATGACTGGTATTCCTGCTCCTGAATCTTATTTTACCAATGAGAGTGCTAAGCAAAGGCTGAAGCAGGAAGACCACAACAAGTCTGAGTCTTACTTGGGCACCTTAGTAAGACCTGGCCTCAAAATAAAAAGGGTCAGGAATGGAACCCAGTGCCAAGGCCCTAGCTGAGTCCCCAGTACTGAAACAAATGAATGATTATTTTTGAATAGGCTCAAGGTGCCTAGTGCCTTCCTACTTGGGTAGCTGAAGTAAACATATCGTCAACAGCACAGGTAGTCTAGTCAGGGTATCTGCTAATGAGCTAGGTTCATACATGTGTCACTGACACCCTGCACCCAACACTGACTCTGACACTGTCCCTCCCTTGCTGCCTGGAGTCTAAATCTGGGTTAAGCAACATCTCACATCACTGCCTCACCCCAACCCATGCATTCAATGCTGAGCATAACTGAGAAAGCTACTCTCAAGTTAAAGGAGGCAACAGCAGCCCAGGCATACAGCTCCTGTTCTTGAGCTGCTAACTGCAGATGAGCTGGAAACAAACTCCAAATCTCAGGCTACCAATGCAGCCTGGGGCTGGGGTCACCCACATGTCACATGGGTCTGAAATTCTAAGGCTGGTCACAAGTTCACTGGGTGGGACTTATTCTCTCAAGCTGTTCATCATCTGACCATGTACTACGCCTGGCTGCAGGTTCTATAGCCAGAACAAGAAGGACACTTGCTGTACACAAAACTACTCAGACCAACAGCGCTTTCTCTGCTGCTTGCCTGCTCCCCGCCACAGGGCCCCTGTGCTCCCAAGGAGGCCGGGTGTAAGGTACCATACCCCTAGGCTCGGCTTGCTTCGTGCCAGGAAACCACCCCACAGAGACTGACCTGTGGACACTAAAATCTATCCGAATCGAGCCAAGCCTCCCCAAACACACACACGCTCACTTTACCACTGTATACTGCCAACACTGGCTGACTAGGTTATCTTTTCTATTTTTAACTGTAAAAAGAACACATGACTCAGCCAAGGTGGAAAGAGCCTGAAAAGTCCCCAGTTTGGGCATATACCACATATTTCTACAACTGATTATGTGAAAAATGCTGCTTTTCCAAGTGGAACTGAAGAACTAGAGCTACAGTGGACCCTTGAGTTACAAACTTGACTCATTTGTGAGGGCTGGTTGTAACACAAGGTAGTTAATGGAAATAACCTACAATGGGTTCCAAATCTCCCAAAGCACCCCTTAACTAATCTTTTCAAAATAAAAAAGGTTGTATAATGGCATAATTTACCAGAAACACCAATAATTTTCCTAGTATACTCATCAAAGTGCCTAGTTGGCCAGAAACAATTCCATACTGTACTCACCATTCGAGTAAACTTCTTTGCCTTGCAGGACAGGAGGGTGAAACGGGAGGTGGCTACTGTTTGGGAGGAGAGTCCCCAACCCGTTCCATGAGAGCATCAGGAACCCAGCTCTGTGTCCTTGCTCTCCTCGGGAGTCTGCAGCCCACTAGGACCTGCTTCTGGCTCACTGGGTCTCAACCTTTTCAGAACTAAAAAGCTGCCACAGTGGTTTGTTTCTGCCTTTTAATACTGTTCTTTTCGATTGTGATTGCTTTCCTTATCCTCCCTTCCTCAGTTCTTCTCTGGCTTTTGGGGGGCCATTCTAATAGCAGTAATTGTAGCAGTTATATAAGGCACTGACCAAAATCATGGCTCAGACTGATTTATGCACATTTATATATGCTTTTCAGGCTTCAAGAGTTTGTAGAAAACTGTGCAATCAGTCGGCATTTGGATTGTAACTTAACACTTCAGTCTGAAATCAAACTTAAAATTCTGGTCATAACTCAAGTTGCTCTTCTGTGATGCCTGTCTTAACTCAAGGTTATGACTGTATGTTAATGTCAGTCACTCTTTTATGATCAGAAGCTTCCATTTAAATAATATATTTCATTCAGGTCCCCCTAACCCTTTGCAGTAGGTATGTAGTAACAATTCCCAAGACTCACCTTTAAACTTGTCTGTGTCTTTGTCTCTGACTAGCCGTACGCTCCTTATGCTGAGATCCTTAAAGATAGCGTCTATGTCGCCCTGAACTGTATTAAAAGGGAGGTTTCCTACATAAGCTGTGTAGGGGGGCTCTGTAGGCAGCTCCTTCTGGCTGCGGGAACCATGGCCACCAGCACTGCCGCGGGACCTAGGAGAAGACAGACACGACTCAGCTTTGCTGGGGCCCTGCCTCCGAGCAGGACTGGCTCAGCCACACAGCAGCAAACTGAACACCCGCTCCCACAGCAACCCCAGCTCTGAACGTGATGAAGACTTCTACAGCATCATTTTTCCAGAAGGTGCCTATTTTTTCAGACAGAAACAGATAATGGACTGGAATGACACATTGTATTCAGAGGGATTGCAGAGGTCTGAGCTCATCACAACCCAACTGCTTTTTTCCACCACTGCAGGGCTAAGAAGGTTCTACTCAGAATTTTCCACGCTGCACATCAAGTACTACCTATGTACACACCACTCTCCCCTCTACACATTATTCCTTGCCCTCCAACACTCACGACGGTGAGCATTATCAATTTGCGTAACCTCCACACCTGCTGCTCGGATACATTAAGTGCCTCACACTGCAGAGGTACTGGTTCAAATTCCAACTCTCGCTCACACGAGCTATACATACTCAAAAAGTCACTCACTGTAAAGTTTATTTGTAGCCAGACATGGTAGTGCATGGCTGTAATCTTACCACTCTAGGAGGCTGAAGCACGAGGATCACAAGTTCTGGAGCCAAGCCTGGGAAACTTAATGAGCTCCTGAATCAAAAAAAGGCCTGGGTTTATGGTTCAGTAGTAAGGCCCTGGGTTCAATTCCCAGTACCATAAAAACAAATAAGTAAATAAATTTGATTGTCAATAATACTAATGTAGTCAGCCAGGCATGGTGGTGCACGCCTATAATCCCAGCACTGGGGAGGCTGAGTCAAGAGACAGAAGGATCATTGCAAATTCGAGACCAGCCTGGACTACGTACAAAGTGAGCCCAAGGCCAGTCTGAACTGCATAGCAAGACCCTGTCTCAAAAAAACAAAAGAAAAAAAAAATACTAACACAGTCTTTGAGTTATTGAAAAATGACAATTACAAGGCACTCTGACAGCATACATATATGGGCAGTAGCAACTGCCATTACCATCTTCTCCTACAAACTGAGTGTTAGAAACTGGGCTGGACAGGCCAGACGTTTAGCTCAGTGGCGAAAGAAAAAGTGCCTGCCTGGCACACACAAGGTCCTGAGTTCAATCCATGGTAACAAAAAAAAAAAAAAAAAGAAAGAAAGAAACTGGGCTGGGGAGGGAGGTTGAGGCAGGAGGATCAATCACTGTGAGTTCAACACCAACCTGAGCTACAAGGCTAGCCTGAAACACATAATGAAACCCTGTGTCAAAAAAACAAAAACCACCACAGATGAGGTCATTGTGTACATTTGTCCAAATCCACAGAAGACAAACACCAGAAGACAGTCCTAAGGTTCCTGTGGCTGGGGTAACGACAACCTGTCACTGCAGGCACCACTCTGCAGTGTAGGCTGCTGACAGTGGCGGAGGCTGTCTGAAGGGGGAAGGGATGTATGAGAACTCTTTACTTTCCACTCAGTTGTACTATCAGCCTAAAACTGCTCTAAAAATAAAGCCAATTTAAGTAAGTGGAGGCTCTTTCTATCAGCTGAGTGTCAGCTGATAAATGCAGACAAAATCCATCATCAGAAAAATCACTACTCCAGCTACCAATATAGTCAGAGATTCAGTTAGGGCTCATCAGGAGATGCCAGAACCAGAGGAGAAATGGTTTTTGGAACAAGATACTTGCCTGACCTCAACTATCACCACGGGTTCTACTATGCTAGTCTGAAGGTAGAGAGAGAGCTTTCTCAAAAGGGAGTTAGCCATCACTTAACCAGCAACTGAACATAGTATCACTAGTAATGAAACAAACATTTGTGCTTCCTATTTGGTGCATGAATTCTTTAACTCTGTCAATCACAAAGACAAAATAGGCAGAGGGACTCACAAAACATGACAATGTCACATCCTGGACCAAATGACTACAAAACAAAGAGCAAACAAAGAGCACTCAGACAGCCTACATATGGCACACATGTGAGACAGGGCTCCCGTATTGGTGGTGGCACTGAGGGGAGCTAATGGCACTGTCCTTAGTAGGATATCCCTAACCCTAGGAGGATGTCAAGCGCATGGGTGTGTGTAAGCTGCTGCTGCTGCTGCTGGTCAGTGTGTCACTTTCAACCTTACTGCAGATTACAAAGTATGTGAAGTAGAATGTGTGGAAAACTTGAGAGAGAGAAAAAAGGGAGCACTTCTAAACAAAACAGCTTACTAATTAAGAATCTTGCCACTTCCTAATAGGATGCCCAGCATCCTATCCTAGAAGCACAAGAGAACGGGTTTGCTAGGGAAATCACAGGCCACCTGCTCCCTTTTACCACCCTCCCAAGTTGGTGACATATGACTTAAATCCTCTCTGCCAACACCACTCTCTCCTTCCTACCTCCACAGCCACAAACCCTCAAATATTTTCCATAAAACATTCTTTAGATTGCATACCAAATGAATACATAACAACCATTTGGAAACCTGTCACAATAGATTCATTTACTTGGGGATTGTGGATCACACCTGTAATTCCAGCACTCAGGAAGCTGAGGCAGAAGGATCACCACGAGTTCAAAGCTAGCCTCAGCTGCATAGTGAATTCAAGGACAGCCTGAACTGATAGCAAGACGCTGTCTCAAAAATAAACAAATTCATTTACTCAACACTGAATGTGGAAAATATTCCCCTGCATTCAAGTGGCTCACAACTGAGTAGCTATACAGCATGTATGACCACATACAGAAGGATGCAGGCAGCTGTGGTGGTGTGGTTACTGCAGCCTATCCCAGGGGTATGTTCAAAGATGGCCAAAGGAGGCCTGAAACTGGTCAGTGCTTGACTGCACACATACTTTATACATTGATAAAGTTTCAAGTAGGAGGCACAGCAAGAGCCTAATAACAGCAGTAATAGAACAGAACAACCCTAACGGTATACTGCAATAAATGCTTTGCTGGTGTAGCCTCTCAAACTATCTCATGCACCGAACTCCCATCCTTATTCCTGTGTGATGGAAAAATGATACTGTGCCTATGTGATTCATTGACACAGACACTGCATGAGGCTACATTAGACCATGTGACAACAGGTCAGCAGGATTGTGATGACAGCTGCATGATATGGATGGTGATCGCTGGACAAAAGGATGACTGGCACCCAGGGCAGGACGGTTTGCACCACTCATGATGTGCAACCTACAGCACTATTCTGGAATTTTCCACTTACTGTTGAGACCACAGCTGACTCCAACATCACTGAAACTTCAGAGAGTAAACTGGATAGGGGACTATCTCGGATATGTACATAGTGGCCAGGCAGCAGGCACATCCCTGAGTGCTAATGGAGGCAAAGAGGCAGGGAGGTGGCTAAAGGGCTCCCTAGTCAGCCTCATGACAACTCATGGTTATGGACATGGTCTAGACCAAGTCGGTGAGGTCAGACTTGACCTCTCCCTGAATAAAGGGAGCCTAAAGGATGAATCCCAGGAGGGAGGAGGCAACTCTGTCTTTGCAGGAGATAGAAAGACCTGTTTATAGCAAGCAGCAATTGTGACAGCCTAGGTAGTATCAAGTGGCAGCATTTCACAGCTTTCTACAGATGCAGCTCTGTCCCTGGGCTTCACTAGTCCACTACCAGCTAGCAGCTGGGGTGCAATTTGCTCCTACTGTGCTTATGAAGCACCTACTGTGTGCCAGCAACTCAGGCCAGGGGGAACACATAATCCCTACAGTGTGCATGCACAGGACAACTCAGCTACCCACCTAGCAATCAACAAATGGACAGGTCAGACCACAGCTAGAAGTGCCGAACTCTCTCTTTGATCCTCCAATTAAGCAGGGGAATGAGGGCTCAAAAGTAATGAAAAGTTGGCTTTCAACATTAGACATTAATCAGAATCTAGATCATGTGCCAAATACTTTCCATGATCCAACCTCTAGGCTCCTAAGCTGCTGGAAGAAATTTGCATCTAGAATCTCACAAGTTTTAATTCAAATGGAGAGAAAAGAACTTCGCACAGATGGAATGACTGAGCTGAGCAGCAGTTCTTTCCCAGAGGGCTGTCTTGAAGACAGAGAATAGTGCTAAGAAGGTGACCCTGAGGGAGTCACCAAGCAGAGATGGGTGGTCTGGAGCACAGCCACATCACCTAAGCTAGCTGTGCTGCGTGACCACAAACACACAGAGGAGGCAATTCACCTTTCACATTCGAAGCTTGGCACAGGACTTCTGCCAAATCATGTCTGAACCTAAGTTTTCTTATCTGTTATTATTATTATTACTTTTGGTATCGGGGATTGAACTCATGACCTCGCACTTGCCAGGCAGGTACTTGTGCTGCTGAGCTAAACCCCCGGTAAATACTTCAAATCTTAATCTCCTAAAGATGTGCAACTGACAGTGAAAATACTTCCATAAAAACACTGAGTGCCATTAATAAGACACATGTATTAACACTGTATTGTTTCATTAGTGTGAGACATATGTATATCTGTGTGCATATGTACATATAAATAATTAGTTAAGACAGTTATTCTAGGAGCTGGGGATTTAGCTCAGTGGCATAAGCGCCTGCCTCGTAAGCGTGCGGTTGTAAATTCGATCACTGGTACCGATTTAGAAAAAAAAAAACCCACCAGTTATTCTACTGATTTCTCTGAGTTACTGAAGAGAAAAATTTGTGCTGGTATTGTTCAGACAACTGAAGGCAGATGTTTTGTGCCCTGGGTGAATGATCTGGGGATGACAATGTGTAGTGTATGTACCATTGTTATCCCCTGATTGATGTACTTTAAAATTTTGTAGTAGTTCTTTTTTCTTTTTATCTATGATTAAAACAGATTTGGAAAAAAAAAAAAAAAAAAAAAAAAGAAACCCTGAGTGCTACCTGCAAATCTAGTAAAGGCTCAACAGCATTCCATTCCATGATCATACCAGAGGACACAGTCCGAGCAGGGGCACAAGGGCTGGCAAGCATGAATGCACCTTTGGAACCAGGCCAGCTGAGCGCAGAGACCTGGACCT